CTTTCCTCTTTTCTTCTCTTTCCTCTTTCCTTCCTTTCTCTTTCCTTTCTCTTTCCTTTATTTCTCTTTCCTCTTTCTCTTCTCTTTCCTCTTTCTTTCCTCTCTCTTTTCTCAATCTTTTTTCTTTCCTCTTTTTCTCTTTCCTCTCCCCCTCACTTTCTTTCTCTCTTTCCTTTCTCTTTCCTCTCCTTTCTCTCCCTCTTTCCTCTTTTCCTCTTTCCTCTCTCTTTCCTCTCTTTTCTTTCTCTTTCCTTTCTCTCTCTTTCCTCTCTTTCTCTTCTTTCTTTCCTCTCCCTTTCCTCTCTTCTCTTTCTCTTTCCTTTCTCTCTTTCTCTTTCCTTTCTCTTTCTCAATCTTTTTTCTCTTTTCTCTTTTTCTCTTTCTCTCCCTCTTGCTTTCTTTCTCTTCTCTCCCTTTCCTCTCCCTTTCTCTTTCCTCTTTTTCTTTCTTTCCTCTCTTTCTCTCTTTCCTCTCTCTTTTTCCTTCTCTTTCTCTTTCCCTCTCTCTTTTCTCTCTTCTTTCTCTTTCCTCTCTTTCTTTCTCTTCCTTTCCTCTCTTTCCTTTCTTTCTTTCCTCTCCTCTTTCTCTTTCCTGTAACTTTCTCTCTTTCCTTTCTTTCTCCTCTTTTCTCCTCTTTCTCTTTCCTCTCTTTCTTTCCTCTTTCTCTCTTTCCTTTCTTTCTCTCTTTCCTCTTTCTCTTTCCCTCTTTCTCTTTCCTCTTTCCTCTATTTCTCTTCTCTTTCTCTTTCCTCCTTTTCTCTTTTTCTCTTTCTCTTTTTCTTTTTTTCCTCTTTCTCTTCTCTTCCTCTTTCCTCTAACTTTCTCTCTCTCTTTCCCCTTTCTCTTTCCTCTTTCTCTTTCCACTTTTTCTCTTTCCCTCTCTCCTCTCTTTCTCTTCTCTTTCTTTCTTCTTTCTCTCTCTCCCTCTCCCTCCAGGTTAGGAGAGAGAGAGAGAGAGAGAATGAAAGGCAGATGGCGCCGAACGGGCGGGGAGAGCAGGACGGAAGGTAGAATCTCCCGGCCGCCCCCCCATCGCTTCTTCAGCCGAACAAGCAGGGAGGGGCAGGGAGGGGGAACAGGACGGGAGGCAGCAGCTCCAGTGGCGGCA